AGAAAGAAAGAAAGAAAGAAGAGAGGAAGGAGGAAGGGATGGAAGGAGGGAGGACAGGGTGGGAAAAAAGAAAGAGAGAAGGAAGGAAGGAAGGAAGGAAGGAAGGAAGGAAGAAAGAAAGAAAGAAAGAAAGAAAGAAAGAAAGAAAGAAAGAAAGAAAATTGTTAGATGGTTTGAGTACTCTTGGAATGAGGTAGAAATGATCTAAGAAAAGCAATCAAAGAAAAAGCAGGACACTTGCTTATAAATTATACAAAATAAATGATGACAATGATGAACTATATTATACAGTAATATGTCCATTTCATTATACATTCATCGGCTGGCATCAAAGGGAACATCTCTACCTATCTGCCCAGACCTTAGGTCTCAGTCCCCTGCTAAGCAGCTGACTGCCCTTTGAGAGGACACAAGTTTGAAGTTGAATCCACACAAACTCTGGAAGTACAGTACACCCTGGGTGGATCTCCACATTGTCTCTTAGAAGCTGCAACTGAACTTTTCTACGGCCCGGTTACTTTACCTGTAAAACCAGGGTAAATCCTACCCTACAGGATTCTTATGAGCATTGATCAATGTAGTGCAAAGCACTTTTAAAAACGCTGCAGCTTGTAATTGGTATTACTGAGTGTTTGGTAAATAAGTAAGTCCCTACCTCTTCCAGGCACAGGGAACACGATTTCAGTTTGCACAAAGCTTTCGTATACTTTATATCTCCCTTGAGCTGAAAGGTCCTAAAGCAGCACAGCAAATAATATTTGTCTACAGCTTTAATAGATACAGAAAACTGAAGTCCAGAGAGAAAGCCGGGTGTTATCACCCAAATTCACAGTGGAGGAACTGACGGGTTCACTTTCCTCACATGTGCTACTCCTGGGCCACCCACAGTCACAGCTAGGATTGCTCAACTGCGTTCTTCCTGCAGAGGCCTTTTCTTAGTAAACTCTATTCCACCTTGCTTGGAGTCCCGCAGTCTCTGTTACAGAAGGGTTTTCAATTCTTGGTTGAGCAACCCTCTTTCCCAAGCTCTTGGCTAAAAAACACAAAGTTCTTTTCTTCTAAGGGTTATTTTGTCTCTATCAATATTGTGAAACACGGAAAATCTGGGCACACGGCCCAAGGCCATGACTCGGCAATTCTGTACCTTCTAAAACTTTCACTGTATGTGAGGTAAACGAAAAAGGCAATTCGTGGCCATTGCTGCTCTGGAAAGGATCGCGATGGCTGCACACCAGGACCCCTAGGAGGTCCCAGGCACTGGTTTCACAGCCCAACCCTGGTGGGCCCAGGGGACTGTGCTAAAGTATGGCTCTCTCGGGGTCTGAGCTGACTTCCCTTTTCAAGTCTCAGGGATGGATAAACTCCAGGCTAAAGTAAAAGCCCTTGGGAAAACTACTTATCTGCAACGCTCCAAGTTGGACTGATGGTCTTTTTCCAAAAGGATGGAAAGTGGTCGGCACACGTAAGTCCTTACTTTGGAAACTGCAGAGGACAACAATCACAATATCCCCTAACTCCTAAGAAGGCACGCTTCCCCAGGAACAAAGGGTGGCCCTAGCCTGGAGTTCACAGCCTGGGGCGTGGGCATCCTGGCTTCAACGCTGTTACTGCGGTACTGCGGCAGCTCCGGGTCCTCTAACAGTGCTTAAAGTCCGCTGGGGACTCATTTGAAGAAAATAAATATGGTGCTCAGACTACCAAGGGGCCTTGAGACTGATTTTAAAAAGCAAGAGGACTGGGACACCCGCGGGCATCTTCTCTCCGCTGAGCTAGTCCCACAGCAGCAATAGCGGAGTCTTTCACTCCCAAAAGGGATCCCTTTCTCCTCTACTCCCTGGACCAACGGGCTTCCTCCTCCATACTGGGAGTCGGGGTGAAAAGGGGCACAGGTGAGGAGCCCCCCAGGGGGTTGCATCCTTGGTCTCCACTCATCTGGCCATAGTAAGTTCTCACAGCAGTAGCACAAGCTAATCCACGTCCTCTTACGTTGTTATCTAATATTATCATCACTTTTACTATTTGCAAAACGTATCAATGTTTCCTCTCGCCTATCGAAGCGGAAAAGAGCAAATTCTAACCTTCCGTAGGTGCAAAGCTGCAGGATTCTACACCTGTAGCTGGGATAATCGCCGTGACCCGTGCTGCTACAAGCAGCAAGCACTTTTCACTCCCCGCAAAGATCGAGGGACCTTTTCCAAAGGAAATGCTACTTTGGCTTGAGAGGGGGGTAAAAAGTGAGAAAATCAACCCTTCAAAAAGTCTCATTCTCTTAAGTTTTGTTTTTGGAGTCAGAGAAACAGGAAGACTTCACCTACCTAGGATCAGACACTCAACAGGCGTTTAGAAGTGATTGAAAGTGAAAAGCGAAGGTGTAGGAAGCTACGCGCGGAACAAAACCTTTCGGATTGGCAGAGACCCTCGAGCCCTGCACCCGCCACCCACCGGTCCCCACCCCCGCAACCTCCCCCGCCAGCACCTGCTGAGTCCGGGCGGGAAGGAGCAGCCTGCCTCTGCGGCCGACTGCAGCGCGGTGCGGACTTTGACTACTGGGCGGGTGGGCGGGACGGGGCGCGGGGTGGGGGGTGGGGTGGGACGGGCCCAACACCGCCCCCTCTTCCCGCTCAGTACTCCAGCGGCGCCGGCCCCGCCCCTGCGTGGCCCCGGGCCTCTTCTCCGCCCCTGGGAGGGTGTGGGCTCAGCTTTGCTCTGGGTGGGGATTTGAGCGGCTGGGTCTGGACTTTGAACACTCGAACTTTCCGGGGAGACCTGGGGAGAAGGGGAGGGCGTGAGGGTGACGCACCAAAAATCTTGATACTGAATTTTGAAAGTTTAAAAGAAAAAACTTTGTAGAAAGTAGAGATCGCAGGGTAGAAGTCATTAATAAAGTTCCTTTTCGATAAACCTCACTTCCCCTGCGCCCGCGGCAAGGTGTGTGGGTGTTTAGGGGAACACTGAGAAGAGTTTTAGTAAGGCACAGTTAATACCAGTATCCAGAGTCAGCCTAATCCCACCCTCTGCACCTCACAGTCCTCACAGTAATATCCCTGGATCTGTCTTCCGTGGGTTTGTCTGGACAGTTCTAAGGACTTATGTTTTCATACATAAATTTCTATATCATTTCCCTCCCAGTAATACATCTCACATTTTTCATATATTGTTACATGAACTTTTTTTTTTTTTTTTGGTCCTAATTTTACTCTTTTTATATGTTAAGAAATCCTCCAGGACTATCTTTCTAGGTTTGTGTCTTACAAAACGAGAAGTTATGTTTGTCTCTTTTTTGAACTGTATTTATGCACCTGTAAACTGCAACCTGGCTGTGACGTTAACTGGAACAAGACAAAACTTGAGCTGAGATAAACTTGTTTTGGATTTCCTCCAAGAGGGTATAGTACTAAAACTATTTAAAGTAGTTTCACTTATCATGAAGAGAAATAGCCTAAAGCCTATGATTACAGAAAAAGTTACAGGAGAGCTATTATTTAAATAATTTTATCTACAGCATGCCAGCTGAACAGTTCTAGCATGTTTCTGAAAAGGGATTCATCTAATAATTATAAAATATGTTCAAACTATTACCTAATCAATAAAAGTGTTCCCCTTATAATAAATCTTAACAATTATTGGCACGATGTGTGTACATATATCACTGTATGCTGTGGTAGCACCACTTCACTGTAATAAATTTAATTCAATAAACACTAAGTGAAGGCAAAGGATTTGGCTTGACAAAATCTAAAACTAGGATAAGTTACATCAAACAGTTGCCCTCAAGCAGTTTACAGTATAATGATCACAAAGGCTAAAATAAAAAGTAAGCTTCCATTACACTTGCAGAAAAAATTTCTCAATTTAGAACTCGGAATAGCTGAGCATGGAGTAAGCACTAACAGCAAAAAGGCTGTGAAAGGATCAACACTTTGTATTCATCTTCGTTATAAACTCTTCATGAGGAGAGAGTTAGTCCTGTTGTTTTAGTTTTGGGTAAAAAGAAGGACTCAGATTTTCAAACTTTCCTCTCACCCTTTTAATCCTAGCATGAAATCTTTCAGAGAAACTCAATCGAAGTTTCAAGCTATGTGATCCCCCAGTAAATATTAAAACAGTTTCAAAGGTCATTGCTTTGAGGGTGGGGACGCAAAGGTCATTTAGCGAAGAGGAGTTGCCATGATAAAGAGTGGAAAGCTGCTTGTTGCAAAGACCAGACCGAATCAGAACTATCTGGAGAACAAAGTATTAGAAATCCATTAGTTCCTATCTTTTTTAAAAAGATGAAGGAGAAATCGAAAAGATTACCATCGCCCCTGGACCAGGGCTTTGTAAGCAGGTGGAAAACAGGTGCCTCTCACCTTTTTCTGTCTTGGATCTTTGTTTTTCCTGAAAGTCACAGAATAAGCACACTAGCAGTCCAAGGGTGAAAGCTGAACTTGGGGATTTCAGTAAAAACACACAAAACTCTATTTTAAGTTTACGAAAAACAAAAAAGTGAGAAAAAGAAACAACATTCTAAACATTAGCAACTGTTATTGTAGAGTCATAGTATGCTTTTTAAATGTATGTTAGATTGCTTATTTCTCTCAAGAACCTTATAAGGGAGTGCTTATTTTTCCTATTCTGTACATAGACACAGATCTGTAGCAGCTTGAAAGTTGTGCTAACTTCTGAAATAAGCTCTGAACTTAATACCCACAAGGGGCAAAAGCAGCCACAGTGAGAACAGACTAAAAAAAAAAAAAAGTAAAATTCTCGAAGCTAATGAAAAGAATATAGCACTAATGCCATTCACGACTTACATACTTTCTCCAAAGGCTGCATTTGCAATACTACCACAGTGGAGATGAGGGTTTAGCATGAATCTTGGGGAAACACAGACATTCAGACCATAGCAGAGACATAAAAGAACTTTCTGGAATGATGCCAGTACCCAGGGTATTGGTCACACAGGAGTACGCATTTGTCAAAATTCACTGACCTGTGTTCTTAATGTGCATTTCACCATATACAAATTATATCTCTAAAATAAAATTAACTTTTAACAATCCATAAATTTTATGAAAGGTGGCAATAAGACCAAAATAATTAGTGTCCCCTTAATGTTGGATTGTTAGCATTGTAGACATGTCAAAGCATTGTAAATAAGCAAGTAAATAGGTCATAGAGGAGAAATGCTAGCTTATATCTATGTTTCTGCCTCTTCTAGGGAAAAAAGTAGATATTGTTTTCTATTCCCTTGTTTGTTCCAGAAGGGGGATTGGTATGGTTTGTGTCTAGATGTCCCCCTAAAGCCTCACGCAGTCATGGAGTGGGCTTCTAGAGTTTATGATTGACTCATGGTCCAATGTTGGGATTATGGGTGTGAGTGCTACACCCGCCCTAGAGTGCATAGCCTGCACACAATATAAGGGAGGGAAAGAGGCTTACTTGCTGCTGCTCCTCCCTTTTTGCTCTTATTGCTTTTGCTGTTGTCCACTGCCATGAACTGTTGCCCATCTGCCATATGCCACCCTGCCTTGGAGCCAGCCAACTATGGACTGAAACTTCCACAAACGTGAGCAAAGTGAACTTTTCCTTTGCTAATTTTAGGTGTTAGGTATTTTGTCTCAGCAACAAGAGAAAAGTAACTAAGACAGGGATGTTCTAAAGTGCAAAAGATTACTCTTTTCATTCATGCAGCTGGGCCAAGATTCTATCTAAAGGTTTCCAGCAACATGGAGGTGTAATTATCATTTGTGGGATTAATGATGACTTTTCCAAGATGAACCACTCCAGGGAGTGGATTGGTGCACCCTACCAAGGGCCAGGGAAGGTTACTGGCCACCCCAGCCTCAAAACTATATACATATATATTAATTTTTATATAAATGTAGTCAACCCACTTCTGGACAGGTGATGGATTCTAGCTTTAAAACACTGAATTCATAGGATAAAACCTGAAAATATTTCAAGTGCAGGAAACAGACACTGTATACTATTTGCTTTCTCTATAATTGCTTTTGTGTCTTTGATATCACGTAAGATTACTGCCTACAATTATCAGAATATACTAATAAAATTCACAACATTTCTATTATGAGGCCTCTCTTAAAATGATTATAGCTTTCCATGGGCAGAGAGAAATCACTTGGTAAATCCTTGTAGAATCTATTTTTTTTCCTGCCAAACTTGTTTAAAATTCTTCTTTTTCTTGGTTTTGATTTAGTAACTTTAGATCTCTGCATTATGTTGTGTTTTGCAGGGAGTTATTGACTTCAGCTAAGGAACCGTGAACAGTAATTATTTTGCATGACTAAGCTCTGGTACACCATTGTCAGACAGGCACTTTACAGTACCACTAGTTTCAAAATTTAGAACAGAACTGTCAAACAAGCAAATGCCTACACCAAAGACTTCTATTTTCAAGCTACAGGCATGAGTTCTATGATGTGCAATAATAGAGGGAATCTTTGTGTTATTGTGAAAGCTCCTGATTTGACAGTTTTGGAAGCGAAACCCTGTTTCTTTCTCAAAAAGGTTTGCCTGTGGCAGCGACAATCCACATTTCCAAGTATGGCTGAAGTTCAGCATCAGTGCTGGAAAGGGTGATATTATTAAATGTTATTAAGAATTGTTTTTGCGGTGGGCAGAAAACAACTTACCCCAGACTGAGAACTTCTGAATTGGTTCATCTCAGTTGGACACTTCCAAATATTGAATAAAACTTCCATAGATTTATCAATTAAAATTTGAGTAGTAGAAACATGATACTTCCAAAACCAGTGTTTGCCAACATTTTATAAAGCCTAAGATTGACATGTATTGTACAAAACATTAATAGACTGAGACGTATGTTTTATCTAAGTTAAATGTCTTTTCTCTTTTCAGTACTGCCCCACATGGCCTTCTCAAGAACATAGAATTCAATCATTGCTGTTCCCAAAGTTGACCTTTTTATCTTTTTAAAATTTTAAAAGACTTCAATTTTTTTTCTACATGTTTCTCCTTCCACTAATAATTTGAGCCTTAAGATAAATCTTGAGGACAAGTAAATTATCTTCCTTTCAGAAATTGGAAAACTGAAGAATGGAGCTTGATTGACCTTGAAATGTCATACGGCACCTAAAATGTAAACAGAGGGCAGAAAACAAAGCTGACTAAAAAGTGGTGTCGTCGGGCAACCTGGTGCCAGTGTGTGACTCAGGGGTAATCATCATGGTTATGATTCAACATGGCAGAAGTCATGTCAAACTGAATCCATATAGGTGGGCAGAATAAAAAACGCTGCATCTCACAGAGTTCTCTGTCTTTAAATATTAAAATATGTCAAATAGTTTAAATATATCACTGTTATTGGCCCAGGCAATTGTTCAGATTCTCTAAAATGAGTTCACACTAATGTATTTATTATTACTGCTTTATAAATCAGGATTCCAATGTAAAAAGTGAAAAAGGGAGTTCTGTCTTTCCATTCATCAGACTACTCATATATACTTTATTGTGATAGTTAACTATGATGTCAACTTGAATAAGCTGATTGGTTTGGCACACTTCTGGGTGTGTCTGGATGATGGATTTAGTGATGAGGGAAGATCCACCTTGGTGTGGGT